ACAAAACCACCCAACTCATATCCAGAACAGCTGCTCGCAGCCCTATAGGAAGCTCCACCAAAGTACCCAGCGGCTCAAAGCACACGCCCGCATGCGTCCCCACCAACAGCCCTGCAACAGTCCTATTCCTCCCCCTGCCTGCGTTTCACCCACCCAGACAAACAAGTCCGACTTAAGAGGAAGCGGCGGTACTTCGTGCCCCCTAGGGAGGCACCACCGAAGGTTCCCAGTGGCGGGGCAGGCAACAAAAATAAAAAAGCAAAACGCTCGCATGCGTACCGCCACCACGCCAGCACAAGCCCTTGCTTACCGCGATCTCACCTTACACGCCATTACATGCGCTTCGTGGCCCCATAGGGAGCTCCACCGAAGGTCCCAGTGGCACCGCCCGCATGCGTCCGCCACCACCCAGCACAATTGCGGCATTCACAACTTCATATGGTTGGGTCCTTCGCCAGGCTAATTTACTAATGGTCTGCCTCTGGAAGCCATCGCCTGGCACCAGGACCGTCCCAAAACGGCTCGGGGTGAAACACCCGTCCTGGAAAATTGGTCGAGACTTCTGGGGTTCGAAACTTCTGGGGGTCGACGTTGTGAAAGGTCCTGGCGTCGGGGGTATGGGTCGTCGTCGTCGCCGGCCAGCAGCCGCAGAACGCTGGAGTCTGGAGTCCGAGGCGGCGCCAGTGGCGACGTCGTCGTCATCCTCCCCCTCCTCGCTGCCGCCGGCCAGCAGCCGCAAAACGCTGGAGTCCGAGGAGGCGCCGGCGACGTCGTCGTCGTCGTCGTCGTCGTCGTCGCCGGCGGCGGCGGCGGCGGCGGCGGCAGCGGCCGGCAGCCGCGGGCCGCTTGAGTCCGACGAGGCACCGCGAGGGGTGGAGCGTGGCGCGAGGAGGAGCCCCCTGGCGGGGCGCCCCGGGCGGGGCGCCCCAGGCAGGGCCTCGCCCTCGGAGGCTCGGGTGCATCCCCGCCCTGGGCGGAGGGAGGGAGGGAGGACAAGGAGGGAGGGAGGGAGGGAGGGAGGACAGGGAGGGAGGGAGGGAGGGAGGAACGGCAGGAAGGGAGGGAGGGAGGGAGGGCGAGAGAGGAGGAGGAGGCGAACGAGAGCAGGGAGGAGGAGGAGGCAGGCACGGGGCGAGGGGGGGCCGAGAGAGTCGAGAGGCGCCTTTGGCAGACGGTGGCCCGCCTCCACGCAAGGCGAAGGCGCTGACGCTGTACGTGACCAAGCACCCGAACGTCTTCGAAGGTGCCCTGGACGCTCGAGGAGGGCGGAGCAGGAGAAGGGACAGGGGCTTGGGGGGCGAAGAACGGTGCAAAATGATATGTTCACCGTCGGGGGACGCCTGTCCCAGGGCGACGGGGAGTTTATACCCCAGCGGTGGCAGGTTGGGGAAACACACCTTCCAGCCGCCCTGGGATCGGCGTCCCCGACGGCGGAAACGAGCTCACGCTGCACCGCGCCCCTGCCCGCGGAAGGGGCAGAGGGCAGGAGAGGGGGCGGCAGGCAGGAGAGGAGCGAGGGGAGCAGGGACGAAAGGGGTGGGGGAGAAGGGACTGAGGGGGGGGGGGGGGAGGGGAGCATGTGGGGGGGGGAGCAGGGGGGGGGGGAGAGCAGGGGGGGGGGGGAGCAGGGGGAGGGACAGGGGGGAGGGTAGCAGGGGGGTGGAGCAGGACGAAAGGGGGGGGGGAGAGGGAACGCGGTCTCCCGATGGCCACGGACGGCTTGGGAGGCCGCGGTCCCAGGCGCGCCTTCCCCAGACGCGGCCGAGAGCCTTCCGCTGCTACCCAGATCGTCCCGAGGCGAACACCGAAGTCCCTAGCCATGGCCCAGCAGAAAACCGCCCGAACCCGCGGGCACAGTTCAGTCAGGTGAGAATGGAGTAGGAGAGGAAGGATGAGGATCAAGGAGTAGGAGGGATGAGGAGGAGGAGGGAGGAGGAGCTAGTAGGGGAGGGGAAGGGAGGGACGGAGGATGGAGAGGGCATGGACCCAGACCGGGATGTAGGGAGGAAGTAGAGAGAAAAAAAGTTGGGGAGGGAAGGCTAGGCGGAGGGACTTGTGTGTGAGGGTAGGGGCGGATTGCTTCATTCAGCCCCGAGTCGGGCCCTTCTCGATGTTCCTTCAGGCCTCTCGAGTTTATACGTGGCGCCCCGCACTTGCGGACACGGGTGAGGGGGCGGAAAACACTGCCCCCAAGTATTGCCCCCATGTACTGCCCCCATATACTGCCCTCATGCACTTCCCCCAACTGCCCCCAAGTATTGCCCCCATGTACTGCCCCCATATACTGCCCTCATGCACTTCCCCCAAGTATTGCCCCAATGCGATGCCCCCATGCATTGCCCTAAAGTGTCGCCCTCCCCTGGCGTACCCCTGAGTATCGCCCCCAGAGACCGATCCCTCCTTCCAGCCACGTGCGCGCAGGGAAAAAACAAGACCGTTCGGCCCCCCTCACCCTGACCGTACAAGCCGCGCGCGGAAGGCCCAGGCCGGGCGACTTTTGCCACAGCACGAGGCAATGGCCCTCGTCCGCGCCGTCCGCGTCCGCCTGCGGCGCTGACCTCCCGTGCATCGGCCGCGGCGAGCTGGCGGAGAGGTCTGCGACGCGCTCGGCCACGCGCGAGGAGGAGCAAAGCGAGGAGGAGGCGAGGGAGCTGGGCGGGAGGCGCACAGGGGGCAAGGGCCGCCCAGCACCGGGCGGCGCTGCCCCAGACTTGCCAGGCGGCAGGGGAGGGCAAAGGCGGGAGGGGGCGGAGGGTCCTTGACGCCACGGGCGCAGGGGCTGAGACACAGCGCGAAGGCACGTGCTGGAGGCGCCGTATGGATGCAGTGACAGGCAAGGACGCAGGCGGCGGCCGCGCGCGGCCGCTTCCGCCAGCAGGCAGCTGCTCCAAGGGAGGCCACGGGCGCAGGGGCTGCCCATACGCAGCGCGATACACGCTTGAGGCCAATGACAGGGGAGGACAAGCGTGGAGGCCGTTCGCGGCCGATTCCGCCAGCGGGAAGCTGCTCCGAAGGAAGCCTGCGGCCGCACAGACCGAAGCGCGGCGGCCACGGAGGGCAGAGCGGTACCGGGCAAGAGCGGTGGAGTAAGGGGAACGAACAGTAACATAAGCACAAAAGCCCAGAGGTCTGCGCGGATTCCTCGGATCGGCGCTGGAGCCCCCTGGCGGCGCCTCCGGCGCCGCCCCTGGCGCGCTCCGCGCGCCAGGGAGTGGGGTCCAACGCCGATCCGAGAAATCCGCGCGGACCTCCGAGATATTATGATGATGATGGCGCTGCTTGTTTCCCTCGGAGACCGCCTGAGGCCCCGCCTTCCTGTGCCCTGTCTCACTAATTAAAGCTGTGCGTAGCCCGCCTAGCTTTTAGCGGAAGAGGTTCGCTTTCGCCCCGCAGACCAAAAGGAAATGTTTCCCTCGGAGTTGCCCTGGGACAGCCACAAGGCAGGGCGAGGGAGGATGGGTCTGTGGAGTTCAGACATCGTAGGAGGACCAGAACAGGCACGACCATCAACTATCGGAGCTCCGCGCGGATTCCTTGGATCGGGGCTGGGCGCCCCTGGCGGCGCCTCCGGCGCCGGTGCAGCGCCGATGCCGCGTGTCGCTCCGCTAAAGAGTCACAGGAACCAGGTCGCTGTGTCGCTCCTCTAGAGTCGCGTGTCGCTCCTCTAGAGTCGCTCCTCTAGAGTCGCGTGTCGCTCCTCTAGAGTCGCGTGTCGCTCCTCTAAAGAGCGCCGATGCCGCGTGTCGCTCCTCGCTTGCGAAATCACAGGAGCCAGTCTCGTGGCACTGGCGCGCCCGAGGGTGGCTCGCCAGGTCTGCAGAGCAGGCCTGCGGCAAGCACAGTCTTGCCCCCCCGCTGCTGACTAGAGCTGTGCGTGGCCCGCTCAGCCTCTGGCGGAAGAGGCTCGCTCTCGACCCGCGGATCAACAAAGTAGCAAGCACAATCGTGGATTGCAGTGCACGGTGAAAGGCAGCAGCAGAGCAGCGCGCACCCGGACCGTAAGCACTGATGCCCGCGAGCCGCCTCGTGCGGCGTGCGCCGCGCCCACCGTAATAACGGAAGTAAGCGGGGTCGACGGCGCGGACATGTTTCCCGCGTAAGGTCGCGCGTGAGCGCCCTCCTCTCCACGCGGTGTGCCACGCTGGCGGCCCGCGCGCTCCTTTTCGTCGCTCACGTGGGATTGAAGCCTTTTGGGTGTGGAAGCCACGTGGTGGTCAGCCACCGTGCAGCGGCCTGTTGCACACAGCGTGCAGGGGATGAGGGCTGGAGTGGGCGGTCCAATCCAAGATATAGCGCGTCCTGCGCCCTCCCCCAAGCTGGCCACCAGAGCTGACCAGAAGAGGAAGACCGACCTGGTACTGCGAGGCCTCTATCCAACGACGGGGGCTCCCCTCATTCCGTAATCTTGGCCCCGTCCAGTTTTGTTCTTTGAGGGCTCCGGCTCCCCCGACCCGCGTTGATGGGCTCGGAGTTTCTGAGTTCCATTGTTTGCAGCTTTTCAGGCGGGTTGCTGCGGTGTGTGTGGTTTGCCTCTTTCCGCTTCCCCCTCCGTCCACTCTTTGTTCCTCCTTCCGCCTCCCCCCCTCCCTCCTCCTTCCCCCCCTCCTTCCACCTCCCCCCCCGCCCCCCCCTCCTCCTCCCTCCCCCCTCCCCTCCCCTGCTCCCTCGCCCAAGGTGGCAGCCTCCCTCCCCGTCCGCCCTCTCCTCTGCTCCTCCCTCCCTCCCCCCGCCCTTCCTCGAGGCTGCGAGTGCGCGGGTCCGGCCGGGGAGCGCGCCGCCCCTCCCCTGCCGAGGCGCCAAGGTGTTCGTGTCCAAGAGCTCCCTGCCGGAGGCAGCTGCCGCCTCGGCGGCGGCGGCGGCGGCGGCGGCGGCGGCGGCGGCGGCGGCGGCGGCGGCGGCGGCGGCGACGACGACGACGACGACGACGACGACGACCGACAGACGACGACGACGACGACGACGACAGACGACAACGGCGACGACGACGACGACGACGACGTTGGTGGCGGCGGCGGCGGCGGCGACGGCGAAATTGACGACGGCGACGACGACCACCACCACACGACGACGACGGCGGCGGCAGCGACAGCTACGACGACGAAGGCTGCGGTTGCGGCAGCGGCTACAGAGGACGAAAGAGTCGGGCCCGCGGCATGGCTGGCACGATGGGGGGACAGTCGGGGCGGGGGGTCTGGCCGACGAGGGAGGCAGCAGCGAAGAGGCGAGGGGCAAGGGGCGCGGAAGGGGATGCAGGTAAGCGTAGGGGAGGGGCCAATGGGGAGGAGAGGGGGGAGCAGCCGTAAGCTGCCGGCGGCCTCGAGGGAAAGGCAGGGGTCCGTTGTGAGCGTGCGCCCAGCTCACGACAGGGCGCCGCACGGCCGCCGGGGCGGTCTGGCTCTCCGAAGCCTGCCGACAGCCCCGAAGACGGGAGGGCTGTCGTGGCGAGCGCGCGCACTCCGCCTCCTCCTTCTCCTCCTCCTCCTCCTCCTCCTCCTCCTCCTCCTCCTCCTCCTCCTCCTCCTTCTCCTCCTCCTCCTCCTCCTCCTCCTTTTCTTCCTTCTCCTCCTCCTCCTCCTCCTCCTCCTCCTCCTCCTCCTCCTCCTTCCTCTCCTCTCCTCCTCCTCCTCCTCCTCCTCCTCCTCCTCCCTCCTCCTCCTCCTCCTCCCTCCTCCTCCTCCTCCTCCTTCCACCTCCTCCTCTCTCCTCCTCCTCCTCCTCCTCCTTCCTCCTCCCTCCTCCTCCTCCTCCTCCTCCTCCTCCTCACTCCCTCTCCTCTCCGCCTCTCCGCCTCTCCGCCTCTCCGCCTCTCCGCCTCTCCGCCTCTCCGCCTCTCCGCCTCTCCGCCTCTCCTCCTCCTCCTCCTCCTCCTCCTCCTCCTCCTCCTCCTCCTCCTCCTCCTCCTCCGCCGCCCAGGCGGGCACAGGGCGTCGCCCGGCCGCGGTTCCCCTCCGGGAGGGCAGGAAAGGCACGGCAGCAGCAGAGGTCCGATGGGGGTCCGTCGAGAACTCGCGCGTGACCAGACATGGCTCGGCGCCCAGCCGCGGTGCCCCCAGATAGCTGGAAGAGGATAGCGCGTGCGAAGGGCAGAGCGGGAGGTGTTGGGGGCGCGCGCCGGGGCTGCCACAGCGCACGACCCGTCGACCTTGCCCATGGAGTCGGAAAGTTGAAGGCGGGCGCAGGTTGTTCAGGGCGCGTGATCGGGCCAACACGGCCCATCACCCAGCCGCACCGCTCTTCCAGGAACTGAACCGCCCACAGACTCCAGCACGGGACTGCCGGTTTGTGAGGCTGCGCGCCTGGGCCGGCACGGCCCCTCGGGGAGATGAGAACGTCCGACGGATTCGGGGCGACGCCGTGGAGTCGGAACGATGCGGCTTGAAATGATGCTGGAAAGGATGGCGAGGTTGACGATCGACGTCGGAAGCGAATAGGACGAGGTGGGGCAGTGGTGAAGAGGAGTGGTGACCTCGCACCGGCTTGATAGTGGCAGGGATCTTGGTGACGATGCTGTTGACGCTCGCTTGGCAAGAGTGTGATAGAAAAACATGAGCAGTGGCGATAGTGATTCATGACGTCAGCATGTACGGACGACAAGACGACATAGATGTCAATTGGTATGGTAACGGTGGCGATGCTGATCAAAGGATGAGGAAGAGGAATAAGGGAGGAAGAAGTGAGTAAGCGAGGAAGCCCGAGCGGCGGCGGAAGGCAACCAAAAACGACTTAAGCATACGAATGCACTGATCGCATACAACACGCATGTGCATTGGCAAGCGCAACCCACGCGTGTAGTCCCACGGAGAAGGCAAATACGCTCATGCAAAGATAGCGTCCCGCTCCGCCCTAGTGCTCCCAGGGATGTGCAGCCCCACGAAAAACTGGACGTTGAGTGGGTGGCAGCAGGCGCCCTCCTCGAGCCTCGATCCTCGAGAGGGGCGGAGGAGGAGGAGGAGGTATCCAGGATGAGGGGGAGGAGGAGGAGGAGGAGGAGGAGGAGGAGGAGGAGGAGGAGGAGGAGGTATCCAGGAGAGGGTGAGAGGAGGAGGAGGAGGTATCCAGTTGGAGGAGGAGGAGGAGGAGGAGGAGGAGGAGGAGGAGGAGGAGGCGGCCCCCATGCCAACCCAGCGCACCCCGCACCCCGCCTCACCCCTTGGAGGGACGAAAATCGCCAGCGGCTTCCACGGTTGCGGCTGGGTCCCGAAAGCTCGCGCTTGGCCCAGGATGCGGGACACCCCGCCGCAGCGCCCCAGCGCGAAAGACGCCGGCCCTGTCCTTGTTGTGAGCGGCGAGCCCAGGGCGGGGCAGGCGAGACAGTGCGGGCCTCCTCGAAGGGCCCGGAAGGCCTCGGGCCTTCGGAGGAGCCCTCGGAGCCCTCCCCGAAGGCACCGAGCACAACTCCTCGCGGGCGCGCCGACCGCGCGCGACGGTTGGGGTCTGGGACGACTCGGCGCTCGGGCCAAGGGAGCGGCAGCGATGTCGCGCGACGGGCAGGGTCTGTCGACGGCTCCGCGCTAAGAGGCCGGGGGAGCGGCCGCGAGCGTGGGCCGGCGGGCGGCGTCATGGGTGCCGCCCCTGCCAGCGCGGCCTGCCTCGTTTGCAGGGCAGAGTCTGCCTGCTTCTGGACGACCCTTGCCTCGGGCCTGGGCCAAATACACATTGATCATTTCTCATTATTCGAGAGTTCTTTGATTTTCGGGAGGGCCAGGATCCTTCTACCCTGGGCCTCCTCCTGGGCCTCCTCTTGGCCACTGAGGGGCCAGGAACAATTAGAAACGAGCACAATTAGAGATGAGCACGATTAAACATGAACGACGTGTGCCGCTCTCACGTCCTGGCCACAAGACTCCATGGACTCTCTTCTCTGGGTGGCGTTCCCTCTGTGCGCAGACGCGCCTGGGGCGGCCAGGTCTGTAGACATCCCGGCCGTCGCGTTCGGCGCGGTACAAGGTCGGAGGAAGGACAGGTCCGTCTACAGGACGCCCCTGCTCTAAGGCAGGTCCCTCGTGGTACTCCAACCACGCGCCCCTGCCGGCGCGAGGGGCCCGGCGCCGGCGGGCCCGCCCGCGCCGCGGCGCCTGCTTCGGCCCCGCGCCCTCGGCCCGCCGACGATCGGCGCGTTCACGATCGGCCCCAGGGAGCACGCGAAAAGCTTCGACAGCTTCGCGGAGGACATGGGGGGCTCTTGAACAAAGCGCGCGCGGCTGCCAGCGCGGCGTACCACATCGACGCCGTGCCCCTCCGCGAGGTGAGGGGCCGCTGACGGTTTCGAGGATGGGCAGGGGTGCTCGTGGAAGCGCGCTCTCGCCCAGCCCTTGCTCGCCGCCCAGCCGCTGGGCCCGCCGCGGACGCGGCAGCTTTTCGGCAGCTTTTCGGGGGCGGCTCGGGTGCTCCTGCGGGCTCGCCCTGGGCCCCGCAGATCCAGGCCCCTCGGGCGGAGCCGGAGCAGCTGGGTTCGGAGGGTCGCGCCGCAGCGCCGATGCATTGGCGATGCGGCGCGTTCGGGAGCCCGGCCTTCTCCATCCCGCCGTCGCCGGCGCATCGCCGAGGCGGCGCGATCCTCCAACCCCACGGGTCGTGCCGGCCCCGGCTGGGAGGCCTCCAGCACAGCATGCCACCCAGACACCATGCGTTGCTGGGAGATCAGAGGCGTCGGCCTGTCCGAGAATGGCCCCGCGAGCGCCCGCCCGCGCCCCGCAGCGGTATGAGAGCGGCCAGCAATGTTGCGGACGACAGGTGGGTTCTCGAAGGCGCCCGCCCAGCCCGAGGAAGTGGGGTGCACATGGCGCGGCCGGCTCGGGCGAGAGTTGGATGCACAGTTGGCCAGGTGTCTTTCCAGTGCGAGGCCCTGTCTATAGCCAGGCACGCAGGGCTTCCGCCCGTGTGTCAAGCGCGTGGCCTCCGCATGGTCCGCATGTGAATTCAGGCGTGTGTGCGTGTCCAGCCAGCCCCGCCTCGTCGCCGTGCGCGAGGCCGCAACGGCCAAAAAATGTGTGTTGCCGGTTTCCACCTCCCACTTCGGCTTGGGTTTCAGCTTCGGCTGCGGGTGCAGTTCGAGGCCGCCTTCGGGCCAGCTCGCGCCAGTCAGCTTCCCGCTCGCGCGGGTGCCTCCCTGACCTCTCCCCCCCCTTCCTTTCTCCTCCCCCCCCCCCTCCCGAAATCTTCCCTCATCCCACCCCCTCCCCCCTTCACCTCTGGGGGCGTCCAGTCTCAGTCTCCAAAATCCAAGGACTCTCCGTATGGAGGGGGGGGGGCTCGCGGGACAGGGGAAGGGGGAGCGACGGTGAAGAAGGAAAGAGGCGGAGGAAAGCAGGGGAGCAAAGGGGGGAGATGCAGCCCACTTCTCCTGTTGCCTTCCCTTCCCTCCTGCCTCCCCCCTCCCCCGCGAGCGCCTGCGATCCTGATCCTTCCGCGCGAAGGAGACCTAAGGGAAAAAGGCCTCACGAGCCCCCTCGGGCCTACTCCTTCCGAGGGCCCGGTGGGCCTTCCTGCCTCCCCTCCCTGGCGGGAGCTCCTGCTCTCCACTCCCGCTCGGAGCTCCTCTCAGTGAGCGCCCCTGCCTCCCCCCTCCATGCGCCCAGCCCTCCGCCCTTCCAGCCCCCCAGGCTCCCCGAAACCTCTGGGGACGCCCGCGGCGGCGCGGCCCATGGCCGCGTCACCGCGGCCATCGTCCGCGCCGCTTCCGCCCCACCTCCCTCTCCTCCTCCGCCCCCTCATCCTCC